GGCAAATCTGCCTCAAAAGAACTGTTTAAAATGTTAAAAAGTAAAGGGCCTTTTTGAGGATTAAGGTGTGCCTCAGCCACCCCCTCATATTGTCAATCACGTCACATGCATGTCAAAGCTGGAATGTGTAAAGAAGTCAGATGAAGAGTGCCTACCTCTGAACTGTGGTCTTCGTGAAGAGTACTGAATATATCATGGTCTGCCTGAAGAATGAACAGATACGTCTTGGAAAAAATATTCCTTAGAAGCGAAGATGGCAAGACTCTGTTTCATGTACTTTGGATATATTTTCAGGAGAGACCAGTTCCTGGAGAAGGACATATACTTGGTAGAGAACGCATCATTGAAAAAGAGCAAGACCCTCAATGAGATGGTTTGGTAACAGTGGAAGCAACAGTGTAGGCTCAAACATATCAACAGTTGTGAGGATAGTGTGGGAGCAAGCAGTGTTTTCTGTTGTGTATTGTGTCGCTGAGTCAGAACTGACAGCAACATAGCGCCATGTGAACTTGCAAAATGTGTAGTTTGTAGTTGCTGGTATAGTGTTCTGCTGCTTCAGCTTTACTGAGACTTAGAACTGTAGGTTGATGTCTTTGATCCATTTTGGAGACATTTCATTTAATGTTGCTGTTGTTAAGTGCCATTGAGTCAGTTCTGACTCACAGCGACCCTGTATAGGGTTTCCAAAGAGCAGCTGATGGGTTTGAACCACTGACCTGTCAGTTAGCAGTCCAGTGCTTACCTTATAGCGTCACATCAGGACTCCTTTTACTCATTCAATGCGTCTTCAAATATTCTGTCATATGATCTCTCTTCTATCCACCTAGAATTTCTAGTTCATGTATGTTAAATTTTATTTTATTGTCTCAAATGTTTAGGATGCTCTGTTCAGTTTTAGTTTTTATTCTATAGCCCCCTTCCTTAAACTGGGTATTTTCTCCTGGCCTTCTTCTTGTTGTTGTTAGGTGCCATCAGGTTGGTACTGACTCATAGCAACCCTATGCACAACAGAGTGAAACACT